TTTATGATGTAAAAATATATGTTGGTGCAGAACCAAACATTAAAGAAGTTCATGCACATGCATCTATCATATCAGCTCATTGTTCATTTTTTGGCAATGCATTAAGTGATGCAACAAAAGAAAATGGATATTATATTATTAAAAAAATTAATATTAATGAAAAATATTTCAAACCTATTCTCAAGTAAGTTCAAATTATTTAATTATTTATTATTACTGAATATGTAATGCTAATAATCTGTTTAATTGTTGAAAGGTTTTTGTACACATGTAAAATTGAATTTGAAAACTATTCTGGAGCTGAAGTATTAGAATTATTAGTTGCAGTAGATGGACTTGGTATTGAATCACTTTATGAGTATGTGATGAAATACTTTATTGAAAATTATGAAGATTATATAAAAGAAACTCCAGTTAAAATTCTACAATTGATTTGTGCTAATGAGGCTTTTAAGGAATTGAAAAATATTTATTTAGAAAAGTTTTATGATTATAGTGAAAAATTATTTCAGTCAAATGAATTTGAATTGTTGGAAAAACCAATTTTATTGGAAATTCTTAAAAGAGATGATTTTTCTGTTGATGAGATAGTTATTTGGGAAAAGATTCTTAAATGGGGATTAGCAAAACATCCAGAAATCAATAATATCAATGTTGAAGATTGGTCATCACAAAATTTTGTTGATTTGTGCAGCACATTAAAAGAATTCCTTCCTCTAATAAGATTTCAGGATATTTCTAAAGATGATTTTTTTGATAAAATTGAACCATATGATATGCTTTTTCCTAGAACTTTATGGAAACCCATTTTAAAATATTATTTGGTTCCTGATAGACAACAAACATTGAATTTACTACCATCAAGAATTTCAAAATTGAATTCAACACCTAAATCATTGACAATCAATCAAAACCTTACTTTGCTTTTTGCAAGTTGGACTGATAGAAAAAATCCACCATATACTTCACTCATTGAAGTCAAATATGAATTCAAACTTCTATATTGTAGTAGTAGAGATGGTTTAAATCTAGGTGTATTCCATCAAAAATGTGATAATGTCAACAAAACCCTTGCAGTTGGTAAAATACAAAATTCAGAACAAATAGTTGGTGGTTATAACCCACTTAATTGGAATGGAAGTGGATATAAAAATACAACAGAAAGTTTTATATTTAATATTAGTAATAGAAATGATATTAATACTGCACAATTTAGTTATGTTATTAATAATGATTACAAGAATGCAGTATATTGTCATCCTAGTTGTTTACCTTGTTTTGGTGCTGGTGCTGATATTTGGTTTCACTTATATGGTCGTATTGTTGGTGTTCCAAAGACTTATAATAACATCAATATAATAAAAAATAGTAAATTTGATGAATTGGAAGTTTTTCAAATAATTGATAAAAAATAAAACAAATATAATGTTTTGATTATTTATTACTATTATAATTTCTTTATGTATTTATTTTCATTATTATGATTAATAATTAAATCTTTCTTTACTGATAATAAACATATAACCAGATTTAATTAAACTTATGATTTCAGGGATATTATTTAAAGTATATCTATATCATATTCTAGGGTTGTTTAACAATTTAGGATGATCTACAATGTTGAATTTAAAATTACACACTGACTATATTTCTTGGAGGAAAAATATTAGACAAAACTAGCTTCACAATTATTCTCCTCATCTGAAGACAAGCACTGGAGGGATATAAAGTCATGGCCAAATTCAACAATCCTAAACTGTGAATGAGTTTATACTACTTAGGTGGGTGAATAAGTTATCTGACTTTCAATAAATTGAAGAATGTCAATGGACTTGGAGAATGCTTCATATTCACATTAAATATTCTTTTCTTTTTTTGGAATTAAATAATGAAGGAAGATTCATATTTGTCATGTACCCAACTTGTTAACTATACATTTTTTATCCATTATCCCTACATTGTCACAGAATAGTGAACTGTCATTCACACCATTGAAATTCCTGAATTATGATATTGTAGTATGAGCTGTAAATGAACATCCTAAAGTTGTAAAAGCTGTAACCTGTAAACTCATAAAGTTGTAAATATTTACAGCTTATAGATATTAATATATAGTAATAGTCATAGTGATTGTTGAAATACTATTTATCATGATATTTATTTTTATAATACAAAAAAAATTTATAACTAAAAACTATTTAACAACTAATTGCTTCAAAATCAACATAGAATATATTGATTTTTGAAATGGTTCCAAACTTTTGATTCCTTACAACACATTTTACTTCTTTGCTATTATTTGTTATTGAATTCTTAGAACCCATTTTATTCTTTTATTTTAATACAGTTTAGTCAATATGATTATCAGTTATTTAAAACAATAAATTGATGTCTTTCATGTTTATATATATATATATATTGTTAAAAAACAATTAATAATATAAATAGCAGTTTTTTGTTTACAAAGACCAATATGATTATTATCATTATTTAATTTTTGAAAAGAAAATAAATAAGAAAACTATATAATCTGACATTCATTATAGCAATTTGTGACTTTGCTTTAATGATTTATGGCATTTACAGACAGCAATATGGCATGTGTCATAACTGGTCTAGCAAAAGTATAATTTAAAAGATCCCCGTTCTAATGAGTATTTATTTTCATATGATTAGTAATATTAAATCTTTACTGATAATAAATATATAACTAGATTTAATTAATAAACTTATAATTTCATTTAACAAACGTAGTTGAATGTTGAATGGAAATGACATTTATTTATTATTTAAAATTACACACTTCAACTCTATCTTTTGAAGGAAAACATCAGATGAAACTAGCTTCACAATTATTAAAATTATACTCACCGATCCCTCACCTGAAGACAAGCAGGGAAGGACACCCAAATTCATCGATCCTAAGCAAACGAGTCTCCTTATACTTACTTGGGAGGGTGTGTGAACAAGTTTTTCGACTTTTAATAAATTGAAGAATGTCAATTGATTTTGAGAATTTCCTAAATGCTTCATGTTCACATTTAAATATTCATTATTCTCCCCTTTTTCAAGTCAAATAACGAGGGAAAATTTTTTTTATCTTTCATGAGAGTGTACCCAACCTGTAGACAGTGATCTTAACTATACATTTTTTATCCCTGTTAGTTCTACACAATCACGAAATAGTGAGCCATTGAAACTTAGGAATTACGGCATTACGGTATGAGCCGTAAATGAACTTGACATGACACCTCAAGATCGTAAAAGCCGTAAACCAAGCTACGCGTAATAGCAAATACGCATTAAAATAAAACCGCGCCTGAACTATCTTTAGCATCTGAGTTTGAAACATGCATAGACTGGATATTGGTACATAAAATAAATGGCTTATACATAGTAAATAAGGCACAGGTTTTTGCAAGTTTTAACTTTGAACAAAGAAAAAATAATGCCATTGTTGAATTTACTAGAATTGCAATAAATTAAATTAATCATGAGTTTGATGATAATGAATTTTCTTTCGACGTTGAAGCCGTTCTTTAAACAATATTAACAAAAAAGCGCAATGACAATATTTGCAAAGCATAAAGAATTCTGTAATCCTTAGTAGGACAACGTTGGACCAGGGAGCGACTGCTATAAAACATTGTCATAATGATGAACTAGTTAGTAAATAATTGGAAATTTGAATAATCTTAATTAGAACAACTACGGCTTCGTAAAAACAAACTTCATGTAAAGAAAAAATAGAATAAAACAATCGCTATTATTTAAATTATTTTCTTGAAAATAAATAAAAAGTTTAAAAAATTGGATTCTCACAGTTTATAGCATTCAAAGCAACATATTAACCAAAATAAAAGGTTTAAAAGGTTTAATTAATCTAAAGGAAATTTAAGTCACAATGTGACAATAGTTTTGAAGGCTGTGATTGTTCAGGTCAAGTAAAATTTCATTGATTATATTCTTGTAAGGATTGAGATGTTATTAATTTTAGAGATGGCATTTTTGTATTGATGTGGAAACAGGATCTGGAATCTTTCATGGTATGTTGAACACCCTCCAATAAGTAGTTCTAACATGGAATTTTCATGATCAAGTATTGGAAAAAGAAGGGTCTGCCATCCTCAACTTTATAAAATGAAAACCTCAATAACAACAACTTCCTCTGGATTACATAGCAATTTTCTTGGTCAGTTGTCCAGAACAACTTTGTATTTATGACAGGTGGCCCCATTCTTAGGTTGTAGTTACAAAAGTATTGCGGATATGTCATATTTTGAAAGTATTGAGATATCTGAAATATTTGTCAATGACGTCATCATCCCAGTAAAGTTTCTCATCCTCAAGTTCAGTCAACTGCATTTGAATTGTTTAACAGCTCTAACATGCATGTTTGAAGGAGTGATAGGAAAGTGCCGAACCTGCACAGTAACCTTTGTTATTTGGTACTGCAATAACAGAATAATCAGCCACCAACTTTCTTGCTTGGATATGGCTTCTGTAGCTATCATTATCATTGATGTCAAAAACCTTTGTTTGGTATTGTATTTTGTCACACTTTGCGAACCCTCTGGTGGTCACATGGAAACCACAAAATTGTTAAATAGATAGCGATCAACATTTTAACTGTCGCATCGACTTATTTTTTACCAAGTATTCTTTTTGCACCACAGAATATCATATCTAAAAATTAATGTAGTTTAGTGTAATGAAATAAACATTTGGGGCACTCACTGATTCATTCACGGATCGGTTTTTTTCTTTTAGAAAAATCCAAGTTTATTACTTATAAGACCATTATTGTTGATTAAAGATATATATATTAGTAATAATAATTTTACATGATAAATACAAGAATAAATATACAAATAATTAATTGGTTAATTAGTTAAAGAACATATAAATACAATCAAAGAAAAGTAATAATTAATAATAATAAATATATAAAGGGAAAAACAATTGTCTCTTGTTTTTTTTTCATCCTCGATGAATTTATTTCACGGTGATGGTGGCGGAGAAATATTTCCTTGTACAGCCCAACCACCACCACTTTCTTCATTAACCGAGACACTATTTGGATCAATATCTTTTTTTTTTAATTTTTAAAAAACCACAATTTAATTAATAAAAAATCAAAAAATCAATGATTATTATAAATAAGATAATTATTTACCCAAATAACAAAAATCACATAATCTTATAATATTAGCTGTGCTAAACCTATTACTAAACCTATTTTGTTGTTGTTGTAATTGTGGATCCTCCATTAATATTGTTAAAAAATCTTTTGGAATTGAAGATAAATCAATGGGTTTTTTGGTAAGACAATCTGTACAAACTAAATAAATAATAATGAATGAATTAATTAATTTTTGATAGTTTGGTTGGTTAATTGACTTAAAAAAAACCCCCACTTACCAATCTTTTTACACTTAATACAAACATTCTATAATTTTTATTTATGAAAATTAAAAAATTAAAATTAATAGATCAAAATCAATTAATTAAAAAAAATAACAATATAAAATTAACTTACCCTCCATCGAAATATATTAAAATCAATCATACATAATTCACATCGTCTAGCAACAATTGCTTCATGAATAGATTTAATCTATCACATTAATGTAAATATCAATATGGTGCATTATGTATTTTAGACGCTTTTGTCAATAAATTGAAATGATTAAAATACTTACTTGCGATGTTAAAATTCCTGATCTTCCTGATACATCTCTCCTTGAAATCTTATTATCGTTATCATTTCCTATACTAATTTCTTTCCCGTGACCACTACTACTACTTCTGTTAGATCCTGTAAGATTCCATACATGAATTCCAGGTGCTAAATCCTCGTCTCTCAATGCATCTGGAAACATTGTGAAAAAACACGGATCACAAGCTCTCGCCCATTGATCTTCTCTTTCACTTGATCCTGAAATCACAAAATTCTTTTATATATATTTACATATATAATTAATAAAAATTATTACGAATCGTAAACACCATACACACACACACACACATACACATATACATACTCTTGTTGAACAATCATGACAAACAACTATACCACATGCTCTACAATGATGTTTTCTTCGAAACAATGTGAACTCATCACTACAATTCATACACTTGTCAGCTTCTGAATCAGGAACCCAAATTGGCGCGTGATAATTTTCTACAATTCTTTTTTTATATATATCTTTTCTTTCCGAATCAAAATTACTATCTATTTTTGTTTATTTTTTTCCAGATTAAAAAAATTCATTATTATTAAATTTTCCAAGTACAAAGTATATTTCTTTTAAATTACCAATTTTCAATGTTCTTTTTGCACTCAAAAATTCTTCTTTTGTGTTACGAATAGCATTTATCCATGATGTTTTTTCTTCTGGTGTGTCTGAATAAATTGTAAAACTTTTTTGTGGTGTAATAATCTGAAATCCATTTTTCATTGCATCTTTTAATTTTTAATAAATAATCAATATTTTAGTATAAAAGATACATTATTATAAATAATAATAATAATAATAATAATAATAATAATAATAATAATAATAATAATTAATAATAATAATAATAATAATAATAATAATAATAATAATTTATTAACAATAAAAAAATAACGATTAATAGTTAATATTATTGGAAAAATATATAAATACCTTGAGATGTTTATCCATTATTTGACATCTTCGAAAATCTTTATGAAAAAAATGTACTACACATAAATTGGTTGATGTAGTTATTTTAAGTATCTCTTTTTCATTATCAATTTCCACATATGATCCATGATCATTTTGACGCATTTCTTTAAGTTTTTCCATTCTGTTTTATCGTCAATCAGATAATCTTTATTGTTATCATTTTATCACTATTATTATTGTTGACTATTCTCTCAAAAAAATTTTTTTATAAAATTATTATTAATTATTATTTCAATGACATACTCTTGTTTTAATTGTTCCATTCGTTTTTCACGTAGATTAGTAAGATCAAAGTCATCGTTTTCTAATTCTTCAAACAATTTTTCATCATCCAAATCTTCTTCAGATGTTCCACTTTTGTTGGTTTCTGTAATTTTATCTAAAACCTCTTGAACACGTTCATCAACAGTATCTTCACTAGTTGAAAAATAAGATTATTGTTGTTATTTGTTATTAAATTTGTTGATAAAAATGATTTTGTATATGTAATTTGATTTTATACTTTTGATCCTCAAGGCAATTTGAAGACATTTTGTTAAATTTTATTTTTGCTATTAAAAAAAATAAAAAGTGTATAATTTAGTGAAAGTTACACTAGTACTAATTTTTTAATTGCATATTTCCAGCACCACCAATGATGAACTACATATTTTATTCTCCATACGTTACTCTTCAAATACAAATCTCACCAGATACAAATGACTAAAGAAAGATATCAAGTAAATTTTCTGATGATAGATAGACTTTCTGATATCAAGAAAACTAAAAGTTGCCATAGAAATATCCAAGAACATTCCAAAAGTTTGCGCTAAAACAAGAGATAAATATTCGGATTGAATTGAATAACGAATGGATGAATGTCTTGCTGCGGGAATCATAAAACCAAACGTGATTATTACATAGTCAAACCCGTTAAACCGAAGACGTTTGTGCAGTGGCGAGTGGTCTTACCTGCTGATTAATCGAATATTTTGGTAATCGGTCAAAGAAGTTAACACTCGAACAATCAGTCGAATTAAAATCTTAGCAATCAAATAATAGTAAATACCTGATTATAATGATGATGATGATGATTATCCCGATTATCCGTATTATCTGTATATGTACAAAAAATGGTTTTTAAGCCATTTTTTTATTTTATTATTTCAAAAGAAAGTATTATTATATTTCCATTAAAATATATAGAGGTTGGTATATCAATCTTGGTGTTACCAGTTTTTATTGACATAGAAATAAATAAAAATACCAAAACATCAATCTTTTACTTTTTTTCTTTTGGGCGGAACTTATGACTAGAGTTTCTATTCGTAATACAACTAAATTTTAATATTAATTCCAATTTATTCGAATTATTCGTTTTATTCGTTATTCGGATTATTCGAATTATTTGTTTTGTCTAAATTATTTTTATTCGAATAGAAACCCTAATATGACTATTTACTAGTAGAAAAAAAGATTTAAATTATTATCATTATTATCATTGTCACTACAAAGGAAAGGTCAATTACTACAACTATTATTATTAATCGAATAAAGAAAAAATGTCAATTACTTCTGCCACTACTATTATTATTATTATCACTACAATGACTGCGAAGGAAAAATAGAGCTGACAAAGAAAAAATTTTTTTTTTAATTGAATTGATAGTGCATATACTATTACTATCGGTTATATTTGTTCAAATTTGCCAGTTAAAAGATTTCACGTGATTAAATTAACTGATTAATAAAAAGTTAACCGATTGAAGAATTTTTGCGCGATGCCAACCTCTAATTAAAAAACAAGGTAAAAAAATATTTCGTAGTAAATCTGATTAATCGTCGATGAATTTTTTACATTCGATTGATCGGATATTTTATTCGGTGGGTAAGACCACTATTGTGCAGCCACTCTCAAAAACTGAAGATCGGTGTCCGATTGGTTAAAATAAACTCGGATTACCGAAGTAATTTAAATACAAAAAAAATATCGGACTAATATTAATTGCGTTTTTTTAAAAAAAACTCAACGAGGTTAACTATATATAGTAATATCATTGTCTCCTATATTTTATTGTAATTTTTTTTACATGAAATAATATAATACACAAAAAACAAACTTTGTTAGAGAGTAACATTAGAATTTCCGAATTGGTTAGCTATATTTTCTCTCAAAATAGTAATATATAGAAAGCTTAATATTGATTTTCATATGGCGTCTTTTTAAAATGAGATTTAAGTCTCCATGGCAGGTTACACGTAATTAACCAGAAGTGTATTTGTGTTCCTTTCTATTGAAAAGACGCCATATATACATACAATAATAATAACCTTTTTATGAATGAGAACTTTCAATATATAAGTTATGTAGCCTTTTAAGATAAATAAACTAAAAGGATGATGACATTTAAAAAGGTTTTGGTGATTTATGGCATTCCCCTTATATCAACCAATCAATTTTGGGATATTTTTTTGGATGTGAATTTTTGAATTTTTGTTTATAATAACTAATTTTTAAAGAACTAACTTAATATAGTAATAGATAGACTCCGATAAAAATTTCCCAAATTGGGTATTCCCCCGATATTTTTCACATTTTCGCACGCCTGATGGCACCAAAACAAACATATTTGACATGTTTGACACGTGTATATTTAAATACCCAAAATATGGGTTACTTGCCGATCATCAAAACTAAAAATTTTATTATCCTGTATATAAATAAAAAGGAATTTTTTAAAAAAATCCTTGCAACCTTTGTTGTATAAGTGAAAAAATGTGCCTCATTACTTAAATCCATGAAAATCATTTAAAGTTTTTTTGTCATGATAATCTCCTTTGAAAAATTTATTAATGAGTTAAGAGAAGGAAATGATGATGATGGCGTATATTTTTTTTTTTCAAGAAGATAATACACCATGTCATAAAGTAAATGGATGAAAGAAGAAAATAATGTTATGGTTCTTCCCTGACCTTCCCAGGCCCAGATCTTGAAAGATTTAAAAAGAAGACTCAGATTATTTTAATACTAAATTAACCAGGAATAATTAATAAATTAATAGATATCATTTAGAAATTGATCAATTTTAAAAAATACAATTGTTTGTAAACAACAGGTTTTTTTTTTTTTATATGCAGTGAAACTTTCGGTATATCTTGATAATGTTGATCGGGATAATAATTTGATATATTATATTTGACAAATAATTTTTTAAAAATTTTTTTACGTTATCGAAAAAAAATTTTTATAATTTATAATAATAACAAATAATGTCACCACTATCTAAAACTTTTGGCTCACAAACTTTGGTAGATACAACATCACAAACTACTAAAAATGCTACATCGTCTTCTCAAATATTCACCAAAGAAACAGTACCATCAATTCTCGAAATAAAAAAACAGATTCCTTCACAATGTTTTTCTCCATCAATATTAAAATCACTTCAATATGTAATTTTAGATTTATCAATAATAGCCGTATTGTTCTTTTTATTTTTTTTCATTGATAAAACAACCTTGATCCCTGAAATCGTCAAAGATTTATTAATTCTTCCAATCTACTCGTTTGCCCAAGGAACAATGTTTTGGGCAATATTTGTATTGGGACATGATTGTGGGCATGGAAGTTTCAGCCGTTATCCTTTGTTTAATGATATAATTGGTACTTTTCTACATCTTTTAATTCTTGTTCCATATACTCCTTGGAAGTTAAGTCATCGTCACCATCATAAAAATACTGGTAATATTGATAAAGA